ACTTGCTTAATGGCAACTTCACGTCTTCCCAGCTATGGGAGCAGGGCAAATAAATCCCTGGCCTGAGTCAACTGAAATCCTTCAAAGCAGGGGCTAAGGTTTCTCAGAGGAGGAAGGAATTCTAGCTGGGGATATCCCCCTTTTGAACAGGTATGTCCATCCAGTTCTGCCCTTTGGCTCTGTACAGCCTGCCCTAAAACTGTATTGACTTATTCTTTTCAATAAATGTCTTAATCTCCTACTGGAGTTTTCTTTCTGGTTAGATCTGATCCCACACAGCAACGGAACTTGTTTTTTATTCCACAGCAAAGTCAACTGCTTACATTTTGATGCTTCAAGGTAAAAGTTGGATTCATGATTTTCACAGACGTAAGTAGGTTTAAAGAGAGCCCCTTACTCTATTTTGCTAAATCTCGCTTACCTTTTTGTTTCAGAAGAAAACAATGACTTTACAGTCAGTGTAACCTTCCTTTGTAAGTTTAAAGATGAAGTACATTCAGCTGCATTTAGAAGGGAGGAAACCAGGTCCTCATGTCTAAAGGGCACAGAGCGGCATCTCTTATATTCAGACAAATAGCCCTTGTGTTTACCTAAAGGGACGTCTGGAATTGGACTTGCAGCACGGACCATCTCATCTGCACAGAAGTATCCTCTGCTTCACAAATGTTCATCATTTTAAATGACTCAGCAATACATGTTCATAACTCTCCCAGACAGAATCTCCTCACTGTTTCTTTCTAATGCTCATTGTCCTCTTTCGGGTTTCATTCCAGCCAGAGCTGCACTGAGACCTTCTAAACCTAAAACACCTTTACACAAACAGACTGGACAGTTAAAGTCAAGAATCCAAAGGGAGCAGAATGTGATATGAAACTCAGTTTCTCATCATTCAAACCAAAATTTTCTATGATGAAATGAAGTCTTTAAATCAAAAACCAAAAAAACTCCACTTTAGAAATATTAAACATTTATTCATTTTTTTTTACTGGTAGCTCTTTTCTTGGTTGTAATAAGAATATTAACAAATAAACATACTTTTGGGATTTAAATGTTACAACCCCAAATTAAAAGTTATCCATTCACTAAAGCCTAGGCATCATTTTAAAATCAATTAATTTGAATTAAAAATGACACGTACCTATAGATAGCTGAAAAATGTATTAACATTTACTTGCAATAACAAACATGTGCTTTGATATTTTTATTCATTGTTATAAAAACAAAGTTTTCAATGAAGGCAGTTCATCAAAATTATGATTATGGAAATAAATTTGAATCTAGTAGTACTTTACACTTAAATAAAAATCATGACAGAATAAAATAGCAAGCATATGGAAATAGTTGTGATATATACATACATATTTCCATGTAAACAAAGGTCAAAGAAATTAAATATCATTGTCAGCAACAAAAGTATGAAGATAAAAGGCTACTTTGTTTTACTTCATGCTTCAATTGAACAACCGCTCTGAGCAGAGAACTAGGAATTAGATGGGCCTTTCCATTCCCCTCACTCTCTTCAGGAAATTACACAGACTAAGATGCCCTGCAGAGACATCCGCAGAAAAGGAATACTATACTAATCAGCCTTCTGGAAGTCATGACTTAACAATTAGTGAGTCATTCTTTCACCCCAACTGTGAAACCACAGGGTTCATCAGACTTTGCCAGTGAAAAGAAAGCAGAGCTGGTGCTGGCCATATCCACCCCAGCACACCTGGAGGCTAGATAGGCACGAACTCTTTCACTGTGGATCACCGTTGGCTTTCCGACACACAACTGTTTGAAGATAAAACAGACAGTATTTAACGGGTATACTTATTTTCTACAGGAGGGTTTCTTGGAACTATGCCCCAGCAACCATCTAAACTAGAATCAGGCAAAACACTCAATATAATAAAAATAAACATTCTTGTGCCCAATCCCTGACACAGAGGCCCAGGAATCTGTACCACTGACCTTCCCTGGGGATATTCAAATGCTCATTAAAGTTTAAATATCACTACTGCCAACTATTTGAAATTTCTTTTTACTCTTTTTTTTTTGACAACAAATATTTTCATATCTCTTTCATGCAAACTAGCTAGGAGGAAAAATAAATAATTTCTGGTTATGTCAGTCAGCAGTGGCTAATAATAGTGGTATTTCCCCATCAAGAAAACATGGAATAATAGGCAACATGCAATTTCATGCCTATATTCCTTGACGGTGCACCATAATATTTTTTTCCTAAAGCTCTCAAAAGGTATAGATAATGAGATTATTGAAGGTGATCTGTAAACTGCCATCTGAACAGATTAGCCAGTGCAGAGAGAGCTGCTGTTCAAGGGCCCCTTCCCTATGGCTTCCTTGTGGGCTCAGCAGTCTCTCTAAAGCGCTCGCCAAGTGTAGCTGCCTCCAAACCGCGAAAGAGTACCCTCAACTGCACCCCGACCACAACACAGAGCGTGAAACTCAGTGTGACTATCGTCACAAAAGGAGTCTGAAGAGTCACCAGTCTGCATCAATATACACAGTGCTGTCGTTCTTGAAAGTTGAATTTTTAGCATCTGTATTAATGTCTGCTTTCAACCCAGTTCATATGGACAATAGAAAGCAAAATGCATTTCAATGTGCTGTTAGTATCTACTACAGTGTTTAAGTCCTGCATGATCCACATGGACAAAGACATATTTACCTGTGAGAAATATCGATTAGGAATTAAAGAGGTAGGTGGCTCGCATACACAATGATCTCAACATGATGTGGGCAATAGTATACACCAGTCCCTCAAGCTGATTCAACAGACAGGGGATTTACAACATGGTTGCAATCACCTCAGGAGCAGGATTTCCCAGGTCTTTGGTGCTGTCAACAAATTTCTAACATCCCAATTCCTGATGACCATGCCAGAGCTCTTCAGACAGCAATTTAATAAAGAACTAACAAGGCAAATATAAAGTAATACTGGAGACCAGACAATACTCATGAAGTAGGCTGGGCTCTTCCCACTATACTTGCATATGGGAAAACATAAACAAACAACACCAACAAATATCCCTCAGGGCTAGGTAAGACCTCAGCAATTCATGCAGTCCAACTTGGGTTTTTATAATTGAGGAAGCACAGGCTTGTTTTTCCCAGTGGCTCAAAAAGCAGTAGACTTCTGAAAAGGTACTATATACACATCCCTGTTAAAGTACTCTCTAGCCCAGAGTGCACCCAAAAGGCCACGCTTTCAGCCCTTTTGGCTTTAGTCTACAGTTGTAGCCCAACCAGTCAGTTTACAAGGTGTGCCGCTGGTAACAGAGCGAGGTGGACCAAGGGCCTGGACACACCAGGAAAGGCAGACAACTAAAGGCAAAGAATGAAAATTCCAAAGCCTGACCTATTAAAGTTGATCTAAGCTCCGACAGGGTTTCTCTCCCTTTTCTTGGGAAGACACACTTCTGACATTCACCAGACTTCAGGTTTGCTAAGGGAAGCACTGAGGCAAAAGGCTCCACTACCAATCACGCTAAAGACCACACTAGATGGCCCACCCACTTGAGAGGGTGGTCGAAGTCATTTTTTTTCCTTTAGAAACTCCAAGGCTTCCTCAGATACAGAGCAACTTCAAGGCCTCCTTGGTCTTCATGCAACCCTGTCCAAAAAGAGAAGAGGAGAGAGGAGAGAAGGGCAGGGGAAAGGAGGAGAGAAGAGGGAGAGGACAGGACGGGAGGGGAGGGAAGGGGAGGGGAGGGGAGGGGAGGGGAGGGGAGGGGAGGGGAGGGGAGGGGAGGGGAGAGGAGAGGAGAGGAGAGGAGAGGGGGGGAGGNGAGAGGAGAGGAGAGGAGAGGAGAGGAGAGGAGAGGAGAGGAGAGGAGAGGAGAGGAGAGGAGAGGAGAGGAGAGGAGAGGAGAGGAGAGGAGAGAAAGAATATGCCACATCCCCCTTGATTTTGCCAGGTTCAGACTGAATGAGGAGTCTTTCCGGCACAATGGAACAACAGCATCTGCATCTCAGATGTTGGGAGTCCAGCTCTACCAGAACCTCTGTGCAGGATTTCTGTTTCTTTGAAACTTGGATTTCTTTTATCTTATCAAGGAAACAAAGGATTCCTCCTTCACAGAGAGCGAGGAGGACAGAGCACTGTGTGGCACCTGCATACAGCACCACCACCCAGTGGCGGGCGGCCCTTTCTCTCTAAGGTTGGTGCGAATGCTTGAATCAGCACGATGCTCCTACGCTGGGCCAGCCGCCCTCTCATTCTGCTCCTCCCTGAAATTTGCCATCGTGCCGTGCCTCCTCCAGGATTCCCTGGTGCTCTAAAAACTCACTATTGTGCTTAGAAAAAAATCCCTGTGTCTTTATCTTCCCTTTTAAATTGTACATGCAGCTAAAACTATCTACCTAGAAACCATAAGCACCTATCTCCCAAAGCACAATGTCATATATAAAAACAATTCTAAGAACACACCTGACTTAATCTGTACATTGTCTCTTAAAGTGCACCAAAGTAAATTGTAATAACCTTTAAAATGTCACCAACCTCCTCGGGTTTTGTTTTTAAATAAAACTAAGAAGCTACCAACTGAGATGCCTAGGGATTGGACTCCAGTATGATGGCAAAGAGCAGCAGTGTCTTGAAGGAAAGGGGAAGGAACTGATTAACTCAACCAAGCTTGACTCAGCAGCATTAAAAAAAAACACCTACAATTCAAGTTAACTGCAGGCTCCATGAAGCACAATCCTGATTCATGCTACGAAAATAAAATCAGTCAACTAAACAGACATCCCCCCAAAGTTTTCTTAATCTAGAGGTAACAAATATGACCACTTTCTTGCAGTATATCCTTGGTTTCGGGATCAAAGTACCTTCCATTCTTTCTTTATAACACACACATACACACACATGCATTCACGCAGGCACGCACGCACACTATAGAAAAAAAAAACAATAGAAGTTTAGAAGCCATATGAAAAAAAAATTCAGTCAATAGAGAACCATAACGACTCCAAATGTCTCCGAGTTCCAATATTCACAACACCGTCCGATGCTCCGCACACACGTAGACAGCACTGGGGCGTATCCGTCGCCTTGTGTGACCAGGGAGGCGTGGCAGGAACTTGAAAGACTTGGGCATCATGTCCAAGCAGGCATCATGAAATTTCTTAATCCTCCAGTAGTATATCAGGGGGTTCAATGCAGACTTGAGGTAGCAGAGCCAGAGTAGCCAGGTGCTAATCTCAAAGAAGTTGTGCTGATAGTAGAAGTGTTTGCTGAAGGTCGCCACAAGGCTGTACGTGGTGAATGGGGCCCAGCAGACGATGAAAACAGCAAAGAGGATCAAGATGGTGGTGAAGGCACGCGTTTTAAAGCCCATGTCGATGCTCATCTGGAAGGGTCTCTGCAGACTCATGAGACCAAGTTTGCTGGCCTGGCTGAGGCATATTCCTTCTGGGTAGCTGTGAATCCTCAAGGCATTGTGCCGCAGGGTGTTGAGGATGCCCATAAACGAATACAGTATCACCAGGAAAGGTATAAAGAAAGAAATGAGTGAGATCAAAATCACATAAGCCTGGTATCCAGAATTAGTTGTGTACCCAAAAACGCATTGTGGGGCTCGGGAAGGGATTTGCAAATCAGGATTCCCCACAGCCAATGGGAAAGCTACGGAAAAAGCAGTTGCCCAGGAGACTGCAATAAGGACCTTAGCCCGGTATGGATTTAGCTTATCTTGCCTCTGGACTATAATCAGAAACCTATCAATGCTAATAATGAGCAGGATAGCAACCCCCTCTATCACAAACAACCAGAAAAACATAGCAGACAGCCGGCAGAAGAATTTCCCAAATATCCATCTGGTGGTAAGAATAGTTACCAGGGCAAACGGCATGTTCAGCACAGCAAGCAGCATGTCTGCAAAAGCCAGGCTGGCAAGAAGGATGTTAATGGCAGAACGCATGGCAGCTTTTTGGTAGACCATGAGGCAAACAACCAAGTTGCCAAGAAAAGACACAAACAGAATAAATATCATTATAGCCGAAAGGATGATCTGGAGAGCTACGTTTAGGCTCTTAAAAACTGCTGGTGTCGGGGTCATGGCTGTGCTGTTCACTGCTAAGGAGCTAAAGCCAGTGCTGGTCATGGTTTCCAGACTGTATCTAATCAGCGGAGCAGGGCTGGGATGCTGGAACGGTGGGGATGTTGTCATATTCACATGGGAGTTTTCATAGACGACAAATGTCGTGTTGGATGTCCCAGCATGGGATGCAGTCAACACCGCCGAGACAACCATGGTGTTAGGAGGACAGAAGCTTCAGGCAGAAGTGTGGGTTCTCTCCAGGCATTTGGGTACAGCACTGTAGGGTCAGGTTCCACTGATGGGCTCGGATACACATTCTGGAAAACGGACAGTGTTCCATCTTCTATAGGAATCCTTTTCCCTGAAAATAAGCCCAAAATGGAACATGAGGTGAGATTAGTATATACATTTCACTCTGATGTGTCACAACACCCGAGTACCAGCAAAAACTGTACATCTCTGCTTAGCTTCTGAGGTCGGAAAAGGCTAGGCATGTTCGGAACAGTATGGTATAGACACATTTGACTTTTCAAATGTTTCATCCTATAGGATCACTCTTTTACCTTCTAAGCCTCTAAAACTGTGTTCTCTAACTTAGTTGTCACTAAAAGATTACTGTTACATTGTCTTAACTAAATATGATGGAAATTTTATAATATTTGTATGTAAAGCAAGATGGATCTTGAAATACATTAATAACCAAGAACAGAAGTTCAAACCCATGGTTGACGCTTTTTGAAAGATTGCAGTAGCTCTCGCTAAGGTTCAGACCATTGAGGAAGAAGGGGCAGAATGATTATAGACGTCATAGGTTCGAGAGGTCCTGAGAAAACCTGTCCTGGATGTAGCAAGCACACTGTGTTCACAAACTCTCAGCGGCTATGGAAGCCTGCAGAAGAGCCATACAAGATAAAGCCACTCGACGTTCTAGCGGGGAGTAGCAGTGGGCTCCTAAGACCCCCATTTCTAACTGGAGAGCTCTGGACAACTGATAGCCTTTGTTGGGAGACAAATAGTTTCCTCTAAGGGTGTGGTTCTGTGTTCTACATCCAGAAGCAAATGGACAGCACACATTGGCCTCAATGGGTTACTGAATCAAATAAAGAAGACACAAAGTTTGGGGTATAGGGAGGGGGTGGTGGATTGAAAGAAGGAGCTGGGGTGAATATAATCAGAATATATTGTATGAAAGGCTACAGGAATTAATAAAAATATTAAAAAGTAAACTTCAAAAAATGGCATTAGCGTCATAGCTTTCCAATCACTATTAAAAAAACATTTCGCTATTTCTCTTAGGAGAACAAGTTTCGACAGCTCTTTCCTATGGGTTCTTATTCCATCTTTACATTAGCATAAAGCTTGATGGTAAAAATAACTTAACCTCAATTCCCAGCTTAACATGTGGTAATAACACACTTTAGTTTTGACCACCCTTAAAGTAAGAACGGGGTGATTTTCAATTAAGATCTGAAATTGTTCTTTGCTTTTCTTCCCTGCTTTCTTCTCTCTGCCTCTTTCTTGTTCCCCCTCTTCCTCCTTGCCTCCATCCTCCCCTCTCTCCTCATTTCTCCTCCTTCAGATCTTCGCTCACATCCATCCCCCGTCCAGGAACTCCCCACCATGCACACGAGCAAAAAGTCTTTCAGATAAAGGAATCATTTTTCCGAAGCTCTTTCTTATATTCTCTCCTTTTTTCTAAGCCTGTCCATTTTGTGCTTCATTTTTATTGACCCTTTGTGGATTACACACCATGCATCCTGATACCGCTCATCTTCCAGTCCTCTGTCCTTGCAACTCCCCCAAAACAGAACATTTCAAAGAAAAAACAAAACTAAACAAAAAAAAATTAGAAGAAGAATCTCATTGTGGAAGCTGTAGTGTGCTCTGTTGAGTCACACAGTTTACTCTTTAGTCTATTCATCTTTACTTGTGTTTCTTGTCATGAGTCACTGGTCTGGCTCAAGGACTCTGGCTTCTGCTACATCACTGGTAATGGGCTCTCATGGGGGCTTCTCTTTGCTATCCTGTTGTTGTTGTTATTGTCCTGTGTCTTAGAGATCCTGCACTTTTGCATCTGTAGGTTTGTCCTCTTTTCGTGCTCCAAAAGTTCACAGATGAGATCCATAACTCATAGCCCTGGTTCTGGATCTCGGTTGTAGCTATGTTGGTCAGCTAGCTACCTAATTTTCTCTCATCCTCACTACTCAGAAGAGCTCTCCGGCACTGTCTCAACTACCTCACCCAATGCAGCCTACGGCAAGGAGTAGGCCCCTTAGTCTTATCACTAGGGTCAGTTCTACTGTTTTGCCAAGGCAAGGTGCAGGACCCTCTCTATTGCTTGCTGTAGGGGACATACAAGAGGGTCAGGTCAGCTCAGCTCTCCTGCTCTCAGGGTTGGCTCACCTGAGACCCTGACAATAGTAGCAGCGGTTGTCATCTGTCACAGGTAGCAAAGGGTGGAAGGGGACATCATCTTTCCCTCACCTGTGCCATCACAGAGCAGATGGGGGACATCTCTGTTACTCTTATGCCTTCAGGGCTGTCTCACCTGCATCCCAAGAAGAGGTTCGGCTCTAATTGGTGCCCAGATGGACCAACACTACTTTCTCACACACTGCCGTCAGTAAGGGTCAGGGCTAGCTCTCCTCTTGTGAGCCCAGGGCAGCTCTCTCACCTGCCACAGGTGATAATGGATAGGCGGAGGAGGACACCTTTCTCTCATCCATGCCACCACATGGCAAATGGGGGGGGGGTCAGCTTTCCTGCTCTCGTGCCCTCAGGCTCAGCTCACCTGAGTCCTAGACCACAGGGTGTGCTTCCCAGGTGAGGCACACACCAAGGTGAGGGGTAGGGCTAGCTTGCCTGTTGTATTGTCCAGCAAGGGGCAGGACCAGCCCTCGCAGGGTTCAGTGAAGGGTGAGACCAGCTCAACACAGCATGGCTCCAATGACCCCTGTGCTAACACAGGCCAAGGACATCACCACAGACTCTAGCTGCAGCAAGACCATGGACCCGGACATAGCCCCCAGCAGAATCTCAGTCCAGACACCACCACAGCACCGGTGGCAGCACAGGCCCCTTTGATCAGCCTGGCCCCTGGGTACCAACATGGATCCAGATGACTGGCACCAGGCATCTACACATTCCTCAGTGGTGTCCTGGGGCCATGGACACCATCCTAGCCCCCTATCTCTGCTAGACATGGTCTTGGGCTGTCGCCTGTACCGGACATCTCCACGTGACAGTGCCAGCTATCCAGATCAGCAAGGCTCCAGGTGAGGCACAGTCCCCAGACACTGACATGGTTCAAGGTGGCCAACCAGACCCTGGTCACCTGGATGGCCCTCGGTGACAACAGGAGCCCCAGACATCAATTCAGACCCTGGCTGCTATAGGGTCACAGACCCAGACTCTGGGCATTGGTACAGTCTTTGATGGGCTCAGGAGCCACAGACATCAACCCAGGCCCTGGATTCGGCAGGACCACAAACCCAGACATGGCCCTTGGACACAGCTCTGATCCAAACAATACCATGGCCTCAGTTGACAGCCCTGGCCACCCAAATCAGCCTGGCTACAGTAGTGGCATAGTCCTTGGATACCAACAAGTTATGGCCCATACCCCAGGCCTCCATGTGGGCCCTGATTGCAGCATGGTCCAGGGACATCAATACAGACCCCAGCTGCAGGCCTGCCATTTGAATAATTTTTCTCAGGCTTCTATTTCTTCTCCCAAAGACTGAATTGATAGTCTGTTAGCAATTTGACAGGAGATGCTAACCAAGTAATAATGATAGAGTTAAGGACAATGGGGGAAAAGTATCTGAATATCCAGAACATATTCAGAAATTTTACGAAGATATTTGGTTCTCATTTCTCAAAGACTTGTTTACCTTTTACTTATCCTTACTCCCAATCTCTCACCAATTTATGGAGCCCTTAATCTTCCGTAGGGGGAATTCCTTAATCTATGATCCTATCAACCACATTCTGACACAGCTTCTCCCTTATGCTGTTCTTAACTCGGGGGTAAGCTCTTTAGTTACAGAGGATTGGGTTTCTGGACAGATTCCTTCAGCAAAACCTTAAAGGGTAAAAATAAAATTAATACACAGAAGATTAAAACAAAACTACAATTCACACATTATATGGCCTTAGACTTATCCATTGATATTTAAGGGTAACTGTCAACATTTCATTCATCTATTTCATGGGGTGTGAATGGAAGAGATGGGGTCTCATTTGTGAGAGCCAAGACCCAGTTCCCAAAGCCAGATCGTGGCTTTCCTACCATCTATAACCCACTGTCCTATGTCCTTGTTTATTTTATAAATAAGAAAAAGAGCAGTCAGTTTGCAGAAAATACTAAGTTTGCTGTTTCTCCCATTTTACATATTAATTTTGTCATTACCAACAACCTCACATGTTCACTCAAAAATGCAAATCAACCTTGACAAAATGCTATATGAAATTAGTGACTATCAAAGTCTATAGTCCCAAAGGGGCAGCAGGAAAGGAAGAAAGATTACCATAGTCTCCCACCATTATCATGTTAGTCTATTCAGAAACCCCACGTACGCAGTGTTATTATGTGCAGTACATAAATGGCTGCTGTACAGACCTACCTCCAGAGAAAGCCCTCCATAGACAGATACGTATGGTAATCCTAAATAAACCATGTTTGGCAAACTGTGTTAAAACGTATAAACTGCATTTCTCAAGATGGCATGGCTCAGTGAGGAAAGGTGCTTGCCACCAAGCCTGACCATGTGAATATGGTCTTTGGGACCCGTGTGGTAAGAGACAACTGATTCCCACAAGTTATCCACTGACCTCCACAGGTGTTTTCTGACATATACATACTCCCCCACATATATACCTACAAAAATTTAATAAGCAAATGTAACACAAAATTTTAAATTCTATTTCAAAAACCATCTATTGGATTTGCAGTAGTAAGTTTGAAGTAATGTCCCTAAGGCTGAGAGGATAGTACAGGAGCCCTTTGCCTAGCATGCAAAGGGCCCTAGATCCAACTCCTAGAACAACAAAATTAACTGATTAAAAGTAATTAAATTAGACTTAGGGCTTTTTTGGTTATAATGAAAAACAATTAAAAATAAGAAGAAACAAACAAAAAATATTAAACTGTGCTTTTTCATGTTTTATAGTTCCATACACAACCAAAGTGTCTTTTTGTTTTCTAAGCCTCC